AAATAAGGAATATTTTAGGCTTTAAAGAAAATGTAGTTTTTGACTTATAAATACCGGAAGTGATGTTTCCGGAAGTACAAAACCTTACTTATGGGACACTTTTAGATGTTCTGTTAAATGATTTTGTTTTAAAATACATATGTCCAGTGGTTTTCTTTAAATCCTTGACGTAAAAGTGTTAAAGACGAAAACAATAGGTCTTTTCGCAGAAAGCGAAAAGCCCTAATAAAACAAGACGAAAACAATAGGGCTTTTCGCCTGAAAGCGAAAAGCCCTAAAAAATATAGAAATGAATTGTCTGTCAGCAGCACGTCAGTCCTGGAAGAATGTTCTTTAAAACGTAGTCAATTAATCACCACACCCTTGCTTGAGGTTTGAGTTCCGGTTTTTGAATTTCCTCTGATAAACGGGTTTTCTTTCACAAATTAAATTGAATATTATAACTTTCACAAGTATCACATATATCACATAATAAACTTTCACAATGCCGTCTAGATTAACTTTGGTTTGAATTTATATTATTTTAAACAGGAGATTTCATTATAACACATAACTTAAAATTGCTGGTCCGGATGTGTCCGTCAGGGCTGCCGTACTCTTTCGTACTCTCTCACACAGTTGCCGCTGTTACTGCAAAACCATAACCCTCTCCCTGGCTCCCTGGACTGCCGACTGGCTATTGTCAATGTAATTAGCTGTAGTACCCCGCCCAAGACCTGATAATTACCAAACGGGACAAAAGCCCGAGGAAATAGGACCCTGGGGAAAAATATAATAAAACAACCACACTAAACGTGCAGACTCACACAAGAAACCATATTTTACAAATTGTATTTTCAAATACCTGATGTAGTTTGACTACCCGCCCAGGCTACTTCATCATAACAACAAGCCAAACAGGTCTTATCTCGGCTGTAACTTCCCGGGTACTACCCGAACACGAGCTCTCAGGTAGATAAAATTACACATCGAGGGGCTCCCCACAGGATAAATAACAATATTTACACTAACGCACTAGGGGTATCCTACGGGATTAAATTTAGTTTGTTACAAACCTCCCCCTTTTGAAGACTAAAGCACCATTTAGTCCAACCTATTTACAAACTAAATACATAGAAATCAACCACATATATACAAACTGGAAATATTCACCATTGATCTTGGTTTACTCTAACTCTTCACTAGACCTTGACAACGCATCTGCAATAACGTTCTGATTACCTGGAACATACCGAACTGTAAAACAAAACTCCTGCAATAGAAGACTCCATCTCAAAAGCCTCTGATTTGACAGTTTTGATCTCTGTAACCATGTCAATGGAGCATGATCAGTTTCAATAACAAACTGCTTACCTTCTTAATACACTCGGAGTGTTTTGACAGCCCAAATAATTGCATAGCATTCTTTTTCAATCACCGCATAGTTTTTCTCTGCTGCTGTAAACTTTTTACTCAAAAAGAATATTGGGTGCTTACCAGTGTCGAACTCTTGTTCGAGGACTGCGCCTGCTCCAGTAGCACTTGCATCTGTACGCAAGACAAACATTCGACTAAAATCTGGACTGTGCAATATTGGTTCACATGCCAACTTACCTTTAAGTTCCTTGAAAGCAGTATCAAGATTATCTGTCCATTTTATTTTGTGTGGTGAATTCTTTTTGGTCAAGTCTGTGAGTGGTAGGGCAAGACTAGAAAAATTAGGAATAAACTTCCTGTAAAATCCAATGAGACCCAAAAATGACCTTACCTTCTTTTTGGTGTTTGGGACCGGAACGTTTTGAATTGCTTGCACCTTTGACAACAATGGCTTTATCTTACCGTCACCTACCATATGTCCGAGGAAACTGACCTCACCAAACCCCAATTTGCACTTTGACGGTCGGGCTGCTAAATTTGCATTCTGCAACGCTGTAAAAATCTCTCTCAAATGCACCAAGTGATCTACCCAGGAATCGCTGAAAACACCAATGTCATCTATAAAAGCTTCTGCATAGTTTTCCTGACCTTCAAGGACTTTACTCACCAATCTCACAAAAGTTGCGGGAGCATTTACCATCCTGAATGGCATTACCGTGAAACTGAAATGACCAAAAGGTGTAACAAAAGCACTTCTGTTTTGCCTCGTCATCTAGTGGCACTTGCCAATAACACTTAGTAAGATCCAACTTACTGATATACTTAGCTCTACTGATTTTGTTTAGAATATCATCCATTCTTGGCATCGGACGAGGATCAAACACAGTTACCTTATTTAGATCCCTATAATCAACGCAGAATCTAAGGGTGTCGTCATTCTTTTTGATGAGTACAATAGGCGCTGAAAGGGGTTTCCGTCTCCTCTATTATTCCCATCTCTTTCATCTGCTTGATTTCTGCCTTTACTTTTTCCTGTAGCGCATACGGAATGGAATAGGGTTTCTTCTGGATTGGTTCTTCGGTTGTCGTTTTAATGGTGTGCTGAATGTAGGACGTTTTCTTTGGAACATCTGTAAATACATTCTCAAATTCTTCTGCTAACCTTTTGAGTTGTCGTTTCTGCTCTTCTGACAGTTCTGACGATATCTCAACATTATCTGATGAATTTGTCTGTTGAAGGATTGGTGCTCTATGGTTAGTGCAATCGTCCTCATCTGAAAAATTTGGTTTTGCATCCATACATGCCAAAACTTCATTGCTTTTCGGACACTTCTCTTCCGAATCTCTGCTAAGCCACTCTTTCAACATGTTGACGTGGTAAACCGGTTCTTTATTCTTGGATATTCTTACCTTGTAATCCACTGGACTTACCTTTTTCACTACTTCATACGGACCTTTCCATTGCGCCATCAGCTTAGATGTGCTAGTTGGAAGAAGTACAAGAACTTTCTGACCTACCTCAAATGTACGAGTTCTCGCCTTTTTGTCGTAGTACATCTTTTGTTTCTTTTTCGCGAGTCTCTCTGAATCTTTAACCAAATCTCTAATGTTCTGCATTCTCTCCCTCGTCTCCAGAATATAGGACAACACTGAAGCCTGTTCAACTGTAGGTTCCTCCCACTGCTCTTTCAAGATTGCTAAGGGCCCCCTAACATGTCTACCATAGAGCAATTCAAAGGGAGAATACCCAGTTGTCTCATTTGGCACCTCTCTGTATGCAAAAAGGACGTAAGGCAAGTGAACATCCCATCTGTGAGGTTCAGAAGAAGCATATGCCTTCAGCATTTTCTTCAAAGTCCCATTAAATTTTTCCAACCCATTTGCTTGTGGATGGTAAGGGGTAGTTGTTAATTTTCTTATCTGAAGTAACTTACACAATTCAGTCATCAGTGTGGACATAAAATTGGTACCCTGGTCCGACAGAATTTCATTAGGCACACCTACCCTAGAAAACAGATCTATCAAAGTATTGGACACTGTCTCTGCTTCTTGGTTTTTCAAAGGAAATGCTCCCGGATACCGTGTTGAGTAGTCCGTACAAACCAAGATGTAACGATTTTTCTTCTCCGTCAGTGGAAGCGGTCCAACAAAATCGATGGCTATTCTTGAGAATGGTTCCTCAATGGGTGGAATAGGAATGAGTGGAGCTTTTGGAGTTCGACCTTTTGGTGTTCCCTTTTTACAAATAGAACAAGATTTGCAAAATCGAGATATGTCAAAATACATTCCAGGCCAAAAGAAATGTTGCATAATACGCTGCCTGGTTTTCTTGTTACCTAAATGTCCTGCTAGTGGAGTGTCATGAGCCAGGGATATTACCTTCGACCTCATTGTCTTTGGTATGACGATCTGGGAAAATTCCTCACCAGAATCTTTCTGAAATATTCTATACAGTAAACCATCCTGTTTCTGAAAGTAAGACTTACCTTCTTGAGTATCGTCTTATGCCATACTCAGTGCAGATTTCAAACTGTCATCTGATTCCTGAAGTTCTACCAACTTATCTCTGCTGCACCACAATTGTTTCAAAGATTCATCCTCTGAATCCTCTTCTGTTGCTTTTCTCTGAGAACTACTATTACCTTGCTCCAATTTGGCCTGCAAACGTGTCTGAACTGCAGCACAAGTGTTCTCGTCATCTCCATCCCTCTTGACTTCTTTTTCGTCCTCCATTGGTTTGAGTATGCTAACATTATTACCAATAATTACATCAGCAAAATCAGGAGAATCAAGGACAAGGGCATGTACCTTACCTGATACATAAGGAGTCTTCAAATCTACCATTGCCTCATCACAGTTTCTTTGAGATCCATCAGCCAGAGTTATCACTCTTGAACGTCCTGTTTTATCAGAGTCTGAAATAAACTTACTACGTACAAATACAGTAGAGCATCCGGTATCTCGTAAGACTGCAACTGGTTGATCACTCACCTGGCCCTTTACTAAATCCAGACCCAATGCTGCCGATGTTTCAATTACTGGCGACTCGTTATCAACTCCGGACAACTTAAGAATCACCCTACCCTTGGTTGTATCTTGTATATTGCCTACAACTTTAGACTCAGACTTATCTAAACACAAACCAACATTTTCTGACCTTTTCTCAGGCTTTGTACCTCTCTGACCTTTACTGTCTCGACCCTTTGACTGAGTTCTCTTAAGAAAACAGTTGGCTGCAATATGTCCTACTCTATCACAAATTAAACACTTTCTGCTATCCCCTGCATTAAAGTGAGACTTGAGATTTGACTTACCATCTTGAGAATTTGTCGAACCAAACTTGTTTGGCTTTCCCGTCGACCTATTCCCTGTACTGTGAAATTGGACACTATTGCCACTAAGATACTTACTCTTATGTGCCGCCTGAAATGCATTAAACAACGCAACAACCTCCTCAATAGACTTTGGGTCATGTTCCAGAATCCACAACTGTAAGTCTTTTGGACAACTTCTAACAACCTGTTCTCTCAAGACCATATCATACAACTTGCCAAAATCTGAATCTATTTTCTCACGTTCACACCAGTGATTGAGGTACCTTTCTACCCTAACAACAAAATGTTTAAATGACTCATCATTTGACTGCTTACCCTGACGAAATTTTTCCCTGTAATCTTCAGAAGTAAGCTCATATCTCTTGAGAATAGCTGTTTTGATAATCTCATAGTTATCACTATCTGCATCCGACAACCTTGAATACGCTTCCAAAGCCTTACCTGCTAACATAGGAACTAAGCGTATAGCCCACTGGGATTTATGCCATTTCTGCAACCCAGCTATCTTTTCAAACGACCGTAAAAAGACATCAGGGTCCTGTCCCTCCTCAAACTTAGGTAACTTAACAGGTGGGCATTTAATCTCATGGGGTTGAGACCCCCCAATTTTAGCATGTTCTAACTCTTTTTCTCTTATAGCTAACTCTCGTAAGTTCACATCTCTTTCTACCTCTAACTTTGCACTTTCTCTCTGGGCCTGACGCTCTTCTCTCTCTTGCGCCCATCTCTCCCTTTCTAGCTCTCTCTTTGATTCCTGCTCCTGACGCCACATCTCGAGACATTCTTTTACGTTTGTACCCTTTTCAATTAAGTCAGCCATCCATTCTGGCATACCAGACATTGTGAAAGTTTGTGAACCTGAAACACAAAACCAAAATTAATAATAGAAACAAACTTGCAAAAAAAAATATTTCCTCTATTTACCCAAGCTCAGATGTATCCCTTCGCTGCCACCAAATTGTTGAGATGTGGGTTATACACTTTAAGAACTTGAATAAATGAAGGAAACAAAACAAAAGGAAATTTCAACAAAATTTAATAAACAAAACAAAAGTAAATTGTACAACAAAAGAAACAAATTAAAAAAAAATATAGAAATGAATTGTCTGTCAGCAGCACGTCAGTCCTGGAAGAATGTTCTTTAAAACGTAGTCAATTAATCACCACACCCTTGCTGGAGGTTTGAGTTCCGGTTTCTTTCACAAATTAAATTGAATATTATAACTTTCACAAGTATCACATATATCACATAATAAACTTTCACAATGCCGTCTAGATTAACTTTGGTTTGAATTTATATTATTTTAAACAGGAGATTTCATTATAACACATAACTTAAAATTGCTGGTCCGGATGTGTCCGTCAGGGCTGCCGTACTCTTTCGTACTCTCTCACACAGTTGCCGCTGTTACTGCAAAACCATTACCCTCTCCCTGGCTCCCTGGACTGCCGACTGGCTATTGTCAATGTAATTAGCTGTAGTACCCCGCCCAAGACCTGATAATTACGAAACGGGACAAAAGCCCGAGGAAATAGGACCCTGGGGAAAAATATAATAAAACAACCATACTAAACGTGCAGACTCACACAAGAAACCATATTTTACAAATTGTATTTTCAAATACCTGATGTAGTTTGAGTACCCGCCCAGGCTACTTCATCATAACAACAAGCCAAACAGGTCTTATCTCGGCTGTGACTTCCCGGGTACTACCCGAACACGAGCTCTCAGGTAGATAAAATTACACATCGAGGGGCTCCCCACAGGATAAATAACAATATTTACACTAACGCACTAGGGGTATCCTACGGGATTAAATTTAGTTTGTTACACAGCCAAAGCCAATGTGACTAAATTCTAAGAAATATATATGAATGAAATTCATCGAAGCTCAATGCTGCCAAGAATACCTGTATCGAGTAACACAAAGTGAGAAACAACTGTTGTCCTCAGAGAAAGTGTGCTTATAGTGTTCCGTCTGACTTACAACTGTACATTGGATTGTTACGATCTAATTTCTCGTTAATGTTTATTATATCAAGAATGGGCATGTATAAAGGAAAGATAACTGAAAGAAAATACACAAGTTTATATGAAAAAATTTAAAATAGTTTTTGAAAAGGCGAAAAATTAAAACTTAAAAAGTGTGGTACCAGGTTGATATGAACCCCCGACTTTAAAAAGAAATTCTCGGAATTGTAATACTCAGCACACATATCAACTGAGCTAGTCTGACTATACAATAGTGTGGCATTAATTTTTAACAGATTATCAGAATCAGGTATCCTTATTTTTTGTAGGTTTTTTGTGAATGTCGACCCCATGGCAGGGGTGTCCCTAAAAATCCTATCTTAAATTATTCTTTGCATCCCAACCTATCAAAATATCACAGTTTTATTTGGGGGCAGGCCTGCCCTGAAGGACCTTTAGGCAAGAATACATGCATAAAACAACGCTTTAACGGAAAAATGATGTTTTTGTCAACTTTGGATATTTATTGTAAAGTTGTAAATAATAGATATCAGGTATAAAATACAAATTTGAAAGAATTAGACATATATCTGGTAGAAGAAAGATAAGATAATAACGAACAGTATTCAATCTCAACGTCCATTAAACAAATATACAATATAAGAGCAGAGCAAACACGGACCTCCGAAACATCAGGTGGGATTAGGTGCCATGGAGGAGTGAGCATCCCCTGCCGACCGGTCACACCCCCGTGTGCTCGTTTTCATAATCAGGAACTAACGGAAAAAAATCCGAGGTAAATTCAGTGTATAAATAATGGACTAACAATTGGTATGAAGAACGTCAGTCAGCATTTCATTCAATGATAAACTGTATTTGCTGACAAGGTCATTGTATCGACAATAGAATTTACGAAATGATGACTTTAAGCGAGACTGTTGATATTCTTATTTCA